TTCTTAGCATCGCTCGCGCCGCGCCGCGCCGCCCGAGCCGAGCCGAGCCTCTGCAGCCGCCGCCGCGGCCCCGCCGCCCGCCGCGGGCGCCCACCAAACACTTTGCAGACTCGCTTCCACCCTGCGGGCCAGTCCGCGCGGCGGGGCCCGGGCCCAGGGCGGCCGCGTCCGGGGACAGGCCATGCAGTGACGCCCCCCCCAATCCCGTCCACCTTTGCCCGGAGCGCGGGCAGTAGCCCAGCGCGCCCAGCCGGCCCCCGGGGCAGGAGCGGTGCTAGGCAGGGGTGGGGTGGCCCAGCCCGGGGACCAGGAGCCAGGGAGGGAGCCGGGCACCGAGAGAGGGCGGGGGAAGCGGCGCCGAAGTTTGCCTCGTACTCGCCGGGCGCTGCGTCGGCTCCAGTGGCCGAGGTAAGTTGGCGCGCGGGGCGGATGCAGGGCTGCGGGGGGCGACGGGCGACATGGGGCCGCTCTTTCTCTGCGGGCTGTGCTTTGTGTGCTGCGGTCGGGCGAGCTCCGGAGGGCTGCCGCTGCCCGGCCCCCCATCCGCCTCTCCGCGCCCCTGCGCCGCCGCGCAAGTTGCTGGGACGCCAAGTTGGGCCGCGCGCTGGAGCCCGCGCGGCAACAGGCGGCTCTCGGCGGCAGCCCTGGAGGCGCCCGGCCCGCCGCGCCGCGCCCCCCGCGCGCCCCTCTCCCGCCGCCGGCACGCGCACCCACGCGCACACGCACACATCCTCGGGCGCTTTTCGCCGTGTGCACGGGGGAGCCAGAAGTTCGGTGCGGGCCGGGAGAGCCGCCGCCGCCGCGGAGCCCCGAACCGGGAGCCCAGAGCCGACCCGATTCCCCCCAGCCCCCACCTCCATTCCTTGGAGCCGCGCCCCCCCCACCCCCCGAAGCCCGCCCGGGGTCCCCGCCGACTTGTGCTGCGGGCGGGGGTCTCGCTCCTTCCCAAAGATGAAAAGAGGGCTCGGTCGTCTTTGCCGCTTCTCCAGGACTGTTGCTGCCGCTGCCGCCGCCGCCGCCGCCGCTTCATTGCACATTCAAGTGGAAAATTTTCAGGAGTCAGCAGAAACATTGTGTCCAAAAAAGACTGAGTCGCAGTTACCACCAAACCCAGGAGGAGACTCTCCCTGGAAAACTTCCCTTCGGTAGGAAATACTGGGGGATTTGTTTGTTTATTGGAAGAGAAATGATCCCCAGGAGGGAAGAAAATCTGAGTACACTTTTAGTCTTTGTTCGTACCAGCAACACTTGTTTTCAAAAGTCCAGAGACCCGTTTTAAAGAAAGTTCAACTTCTGTGAGTTTCCTCTTTTACAAACGTATTTTCTAAAAATCATAACATTTTTAAGGAGTCGAAACAATGAGACGCTCGCTCAGCTCGCTTACCTTCTTCCCACGAAAATAAAACCCAGATTAGAAATTTCCTTCATTTTTTTATTTGTCTTTCTTTTTAAAGATTTATTTAAAGTTGGATGGTGTCACTGTATAAAAATATTTATGAAACAATGAAATACCAGCCACCAGCTTTTCTCAGGAGGCTTGTTAACTTCTTAGAAGCAAGTGGCTGCCTGTGATTTGTAGAAATGAAAATTGACCTCAGTGAGCACTGGAAACTTAGAGACAGATGATATTCCAGGAACTGAGAACCTAAAAAGGCCGGGTTTAAAAACAGTGTCTTGGAAGGAGCCCAGGTTCTGGGACCGAAAGGTCTATCAGATTTCAAAATAGTGAAAAAAATATTTAAAATACTACAGATACTGCAAAGCAGCAAACTATCAGTTCAGGACAACCAACCACATGTTTCCTCTCTGCCTATGCCTGGGTTGTTTTTGGAAGTTTAGGATGTCTGATCGCTTAGGGTGTGTTGAGTACCTGTTGGTAGTTACTAGAGTGGACAGAGCCCTCCCTTTGGGAAGATAGGACCCACCGGGAGCTACTGGTCTCTCTTGACAGGGTCCTGTGAGACTGGGGATGGGGAATAGTCTTCAGGCTTTGCTTTTATCCTTGCACTGTTGGGTTTGTGCCTTTTTGTAAATAGCAGATGTTTGGGCCCAAGCACATTTGAATGCTTACAAGGGCCAGACTTAGATCCAACTTTGGTAGGAATCTTTCCTCTTTAGAAGGAAATAGTAACTAATTACAGAGTGACTTAAGAAAGACAAATGCATTTAGTTGAACCTTTATCAATGCCGAGATTTTGAATTGTTGATTATTTTAGGGGGGAAAGGAGTATTTTTCTAATCTCACTATTTCCATAAATGGTCATAGATATTTTTGTTTAGTATTTCTTTGTATGTGCAACTCTGTGTTGAACTCTCAGGTTTCAGGTTTTAAAGAGAGTTTACAATTCTTTTATTTGTTGTTGGATAAAAAATGAACTTGATAAGCTATATCTATTACTGGGTTTTGCTGATGTGCCAAGTAGACCATTTTATTTTTACTGTAATGGTTAAGTATTGTTTGATACGCAATTTTAGGGGAAATATTAGAATGCTTTTTTTAAAAACAAATTTGGAACAAAAACCAATGTGACACTTTACCTTGACAAAAGAGATTTAAAAAAAAATGATAGGAAAGAATCTTTGTGTAAATTCCTCCTCTGTATGATCCTTTATAAAATAAACTCCAGGGAAGGTGCTTGAGAGAAATTGAAGTTTTTTTTTTTTTTTTTAATTTCCCAAAACAAAAACCAGGGCTCACCAGGACATTTAGTTAATGAAATTTAATTTAAAGAGCAAGGATATCCTAGCTTAGTTTGAGCCAGACTGAAGTGAGTCTCAACTGAGAAGTGCTTTCTTGCAGTGTGGTACAAAGTGTGTCAAACACCATCCCCCTCCGCCCCCTCAGCAAACTAATGACAAGGGAGGGTGGACTCCAGGGCCTTCTAGGGGCAGTCAACTTCTTCCTTCCTCCTCCTTTTCTTTCCTCTGGCTCTTCATTTGCTGTATGCAGCAGAAATTATATATTCATAGACTTTAGGTTTGGAAAACTGGTGTCTCCATTTATTGAGGAAGCGAACAAATAAGCCATAAGGAAGAATATGTTCAAGTTTTTTTTCCTGCTTGAGTTCTAGCAATTTATAAGCAGTTTGAAGTTTGCTGGTTCTGAAAATACAAAGCAGCAAGTAGAAGAGAGCATTTCTTAATGGGAAAATTTAGTAGAAATCTACTTGTAGTGTCTTCAGTGTCTAGACCATATTTAGCATACTTCCAGTGCAGAAGTATGTAACATGAACAGTTTAGAGAATGTAGATCCCAAATGCTAGATAGGTCTCTAAGACAGGAGCCGTACCATTAACAGCATTAGAAGGTTGCTTGCTTTAGAAATGGATTGATCTCTCCTACAGGGCCGTTGTGCAAGAGCTCACGCATCTGTGGGATTACTTTCCCTCTAATCTCACATGTTATTATGTGTTAATTGTGAACATAATTATACTGCTTGCAAATGGAAGTTGTGATGTCTTATCACTCAGAAGGTCAGAGCAAATAACTGTATGAAGTGGTGGATTTAAGAACGACCATATTCATACCTAGATAGTAGGTCCATAGCACTCAAGCTTTCATTTTTGGCACTTTTGTTCTGTTTCCAATAAAGAGATTGTGAAAGGAGAAAAAAACAAAAACAAAATACATAGGTTCGTGTTTCTGAGTGAAAGTTGTGTTGAATCTGTCCAATGATAAAACTTTTAGGGTCTGTTTTCTTCAAAGGCTTAAAAATACTGGCCAGCTAAGTGTCCGGCTTTCTTTCAAAAGCTACAAGAAAATCATCCACCCTTTCCGTTAATCAGTGTGGGCATTACAGCTTCTCTTTGGAGTTCAGTGACTGGAATTGCAGACTGCTAATGTCCTATTTCTGAACTCAGCAAGAAAAATATATTGTAAGCTTATCTCCCTTTGACAAACTTAGGCGCTGCTGCTGACTGCTTGGGGACTGAGGATGACTGTCATAATCTCTTAGAGCTGCATGGTACTATTTCTTGTTTTATCTGCAGAAGGTACAAAATCACCTTGTCATATTTAAATTAGGTTCTAAATTGTGTTTGAACAATACCAGGGGTAATATTTTATTCTTTCCTATTCATGAAGGTGATAGAATCGAGCAATTCAGGACTATGCTAGCACTTCATGTTTCGTGGTTGGGCTTTTTGACAGCTACCTAATTTAGACCCTGTTGTATTACAACTGTAATAGAGATGCTCTGGATCTATTCTCTTCTGGGATAGTATGCATAATGGTAAGATATTTGGATCTAAATTTTTGGAGTGTTTTTGTGGAGGTTTTAATTCTGTTTTGTTGCAGAGCTGTGAGCTATTGAGAGTCCTCAGTCTGTAATACAGTCTTTATAAGCATCCTTGACTCTGTTCCATATTTGAATTTGGGATTGAAATTCAACCATTTCTTCAGAAAAGTTCAGGCTTTGTAGTGGTGCAGTATAGGAGGATTTTGAAATATGTATTTTTATTTTAGTCCAAGCAAATGGGATGCCCTGGTGAGGGGTAGGGCTGGGTGTCAGGTCACTGTTTCCTTCAGGGTTGGTTACTCTCTGCTCTGAAGTTCTCCTTTTGTTCACTGACTTTTGCATAGTTGGGAGGACTCTTGAAGAATGGTTTCCATAGTCTGGGAGTCTTGGCTAACTGAAATGCACTGGTCTCTCTGATTGGGTAACGGGGGTGGGGGGGGTGTTCTTCCAGAGGCTGTTTTTTCTATTTTTGTGGTAGGCCCAGGGAAGGCTGTGATCCCTCTCACCCCCATTTAAAACCAGTATTTTCTCTCCCGATGCAATGTTTGCTGCATTGTACCATGATTCACATTAGTTTTTCAGGCTCTGTCCTAGGATTTCATTAGCATTTCTAATTGGAAAGGACAGGGCCCTAGAAAGTAAGTTTAGAAATAAAAGCTAACTTACTGCTGAACAAACTAAGCATCCTCATCTCCAGTGGGAAATTCTGGTTGCTGTTAGGCATCTGACAGGTATATGTAAGGTGGCTGCAACACTGTAGGCTGGAGTATACAGCAATGTATCAGTTTTTACCGATATGTAAACTGAAAACTGCTGCTAATGGTGGGAAATGTTAATTATGTGAGAACATATTGAACTTATATTCTCTGGCATGAACTTTTTAAAAAAATGCATCAACTGTGCTTTTTTTTTTAATAGGCACAGCTTTCTAATTATCATAATTCAGTGCAGCTCTGCTCTTGGATGGAGTTCAAGTGCAATCTCAATTTAACTTGAAAGGAGATTTTTAAAAATTAAAAAAAAAAAAACCTGAGCATGTTTAAGAAAATTTGAGAAGTTCATCCAAGAATGTTGTCTGCTTAGGTGTGGGTAAATTGGGAGAATGAAACGAGTGACTTTCTGTAATAGTTTCATAGATCTGAAAATTAAGGAAGACACTGTTTGCTTTCTT